TGCTCAAACCAGATCCCGAAACGCAAAATCATGTTTTGGTGAAGCGTCGGGTCCTAGACCGATCGGTCCAGGCGGTTCGGTCTTCAGGTATGTGTCGGTCCAGACCTTTCGGTCCTAAATGGTCCAGACCGATCGGTCTTGGTCCAGACCGATCGGTCTACGCATGCAGACCATTCAGTCCGGACCTATCAGTCCAACCGACTTGTGAAACCCTAGACCGATCGGTCCACAGGACCAGACCGATCGGTCCAGGCAAAAACGTGATCAGATCTCGTTTTCGTCGTTTTCGCCCCGTTTCAGATCCGAATTCGATCCCGTTTTCGCTTGCGAACTCAGAATTCGAAGCTCTTGCAACTATGTAACAATGAACAGAAAATCTACTCTAGATCCACAATCAAATCATGCATAGCATCAAAGCAAACACGGATTCAAACAATTCAAATCCTATAACGTGCGTGATCGGGTTCTAACAAAAATCATGCAGAGTAACCAGGCTCTGATACCACTGTTGGGTTTTCCTGGGATCTCAAGAGTGAATCTAATTCCTAAGAGATTAGTTCTAGGGTTTGCGCAGCGGATGTAAAACAAAAATTTTGATGAAACCCTAAAACCTATCATGCATGATCTTGTAGAAACGTTAGAACGCTTACCCTCAATCGATCCGGGGCTTGTATCAATTGATGTGTTCGTCCGATCACTGTAGGCAGGAAGAATACCTTGCCCTCTACACGTATCCACACGGCAGAAAGGATTCCAACGGTTGGAACTTGTCTGATAGGACTGAAGAACGCTTTCTTCTTTGCGCAAGGGTTTCAGGGATATTTCTCTTAGCTTTCTCACTCTCCAAACCTCTCCCTAGGGTCTGAAAATCGTGCTGAGAGTGTTGGGTGGCGTTTTTCAAAGTTAATTCCCCTTAAAACCCTAATTAGAGCGAGTTTTGTAAATCCCGACGTCTGGACAGATCGGTCTGGAGCTTTTAAATGTCTGGACCGATCGGTCCATGTCTGGACCGATCGGTCTGGAACAATTTCTGGACCGAGTGACTCTCACACGTTACCTCTAGGCCGATCGGTCTACGTCTAGACCGATCGGTCTGGGCTAGCTGGACCGATCGGTCCAGACCTTCTGGACCGGTCGGTCTAGCCTCCGCTCCACCGGGATTTTCTCGTCTCTTCTCGCGCATTCGTCCTTTCCTATGTGTGTGACCCTGAGGCTCATCCGATATAGCAGTATAACACGAAATCTCTTATTTCGGTTACACAAGTCATAGACGGTCTCTAGTAAGACACAATGACTACCTATCTCGAATAGAGTTTGTTCGTGATCCTACGAACGCAAGTGATGATTCCGTTTGATGATCCTTTTGTATCACGATATCATATGTCGAATATAAGGCATGGATAAGCCACCTTATCTGATTCGACTACTTTCTCGTTTACTGAGTTTGACTGTCTGAAATAGACGACGTTCGTCTATAGTGCGGCCACACATTTCTATAGTCTCGCTCACACGAGGGGCCCAGCGATATCTCTCTCTTTTACGAGAGGTACAAGTCCCATCTTGACTATCTACAATCCAGTACATGATTCGTTTCGTACCTGATACACGCCTTTATAGTCCTCCTGTTACGCAGGACGTTTGACGTAATCAAAGTACGCAACTCCTCATGTTGGATTCCATAGATATCTCAGGTCTTAGGATCTAATCATGGAACCGTCATATGAGATTCAAGTCATGACGCTAGTCCATGTGACAATCTCATACGGGTCATTCCAGTATTCCGTTCTCCAACGAATACCTATGATTGTGATCGTATCCAATACCTATGATCATCTATGTGATCATCAATCACACATCATACTAGTCTTATTATGTCGTTATTCCCATAACGACGCAAGACTAGGGAGTTTAATATCATTCATAATGATACATGGATTTCATAACACATCTAGTATGCAATAACATGTAATGAATCAAATACTCTCATAAACCATAGAAAGTATCAGTACATCAAATGCATCCCAATAAAGCTCATAAACAGTACATTATAGAGCACTAGACCAACACAGACAGGCAGTTGACCTCTCCGACAAGTATTCGCGCGCAGTTAAGCTTGTTTCGCAGTACTTTGCGTCCAGATTTGGAGCATGTGCGAATTGCCCCTATCAAATCAGACGAGATGTCGCTTGAGACGTCAAAACCCTAAAACCACACGAAACAACTAATTGCAGATTTAGAAGCTCTAAATATTGTGAAATTGGAAAGATTCGATCTAACACGTGCGCCATTAAAAAAATAGGTCTATTAAACCATAACCCTTTTAAGCCCATCAATAAAAAGAAGGCCGATTAAACCATAACCCTTTTAAGCCCATCAATAAAAAGAAGGCCGATTTCTGGTTATTATGAATTCATAATGTCGTCAAATTATAAATTCTTTTTCGGTAAAAGATTTTTGAGATCTCCATTACGTAACTAAATTGTAGTAGTGACTTGAAAAACTATATTCATATAACGATTTTATAAGTAAACACAATTCAACACATTTTAAGCGCATTCAATGTCTAAATTGTAGTATTGATGATGGTACAACCATAAGTAAACTGTGCACTTTAGGGTTTGAGACCAGAGTTCGACTTTAGGTTTCAATTCCAATTAGTGTTTCTTGAAGCATTACATGATATGAATGTTTGTTGTACGCAATTGGAACAAGGTTGCTCTATGACCTTTTTTTTATTTAAAGAAAATGTCATGTAACTCGGACAAAAATGTAACGTTACATTATAAGAATAATGTTTATTGCCTCGTGATCCATTCAAAAACAACCACGTCATCAAAATAATTAAAAAAGAAAAATCAATCGGATTAAATTCCATCCCATAATTAAAAAAAAATAGTCAGATTAAAATCTCTAAATCGACTGCCAAATATAATTTGCAAAATATCAACGGGGAAGTGAAGACAGAATCCTTGCTGAGAAGAACAAGTCAGGGTCACATGGGACAAATGATTTCTGAAGAGAGAACGAAAATAACTGACATAAAGTCCCAGACCCAAGTGAAAAGATCAAACTACATAAGTAAGATGATAAACTTGTCGTCTGCTGATTGTGCAGATGTTGAATTCCTGACCCCTACAACAAGAATACACACGATCATCACACACAAACTTCAATCAGTCACATACCTTAGGAATCTCCGCGACTTCTGCCTCGTGTTGCTGGACCGAGAAAAGAGAATTACGGATCTGCCACTGGACAACGAGGTCTGAGCCCTCTTGAGGGGATGCGAGAAGCTCAGAAGGTTCGCCCTCTATCTCAGACCTGGAGGTCTAACCAACACGGGCCTGAGTTACATTGGGCAGTACAGCCCGAACGTGAGATGGATGCTACTGGGTACCTGGCTGAGACGGATGAGGGTCTGTTGAAGAAAAAAGAAATATAAACAATGTAGGATTTGAAATATTAAGGGAAAAAAGCTTGATTAGACTTTGTCAATGGAGGTTTTATTTAAAAAAAATAAAGAGAATAAAAACAGAATATGAAACCTTACCGTCAATGGAGTCGTCTTCTCTCAGGGAGGAAGAAGAACTTGGTAGAAAAGGAATGGTGAAATGCCGTTCGTGGTTTTACTTTTTGCAGTACCGTCATTTTTTTATTTATTTTATTTATTTTTTGTTTAATGTGTGGCTAATAATAAAATGAAACATAAAAAATATTTTTTTAAGTGATTATGAAAAAATATTGTGATCTTAAAAGGTCAAATATAGAAAATTAGGAAGAAATAAACGAGGATAAAAACATTAATTTCACCCATATCCCACTAATTTGTAAGTGGACTCTCAATATGCAACACAGAAGGAATACCATTTCTGTCAACTAATTTCAACAATACTTTTGGAACTTTGAGATAACCTTATTGCTTGATGGGTTTTGGCCTGCAGAAGATGGGCCGATGCTCATGATTAAGATGATAAAAGTCGAATTCTTTCACACGTTCTGTCTTAGCTTGGAACTCGACAAGAGCTCCATTGGAAAGATCCTTAGCCATGAAAGTGATGTACAATTTCACATCAAGGTTTGCACCGCGTGTATTCAGCCTTCCCACATGGTCGAATTGTATCTCGGTTCCCTTGACAATACATACACAGGAGCATCACACACATGCAATCTATATAGTATGTAAATACCATGCACTTACGAATTGTTCGTTGTAATTCTGCAGACATGCAGTTGACCTCTCCGACAAGTACTCGCGCGCAGTTAAGCTTTTTTCGCAGTACTTTGTGTCCAGATTTGGAGCATGTGCGGATTGCCCCTATCAAATCAGAAGAGATGTCGCTTGGGACGTCAAAACCCTAAAACCACACGAAACAACTAATTGCAGATTAAGAAGCTCTAAGCATTGTGAAATTGGAAAGATTCGATCTAACACGTGCGCCATTAACAAAATAGGTCTATTAAACCATAACCCTTTTAAGCTCATCAATAAAAAGAATGCTCATTTCTGGTTATTATGAATTAATAATGTCGTCAAATTATAAATTCTTTTTCGGTAAAAGATTTTCGAGATCTCCAATACGTAACTAAATTGTAGTAGTGACTTGAAAAACTATATTCATATAACGATTTTATAAGTAAACACAATTCAACACATTTTAAGTGCATTCAATGTCTAAATTGTAGTATTGATGATGGCACAACCACAAGTAACTGTGCACTTTAGGGTTCGAGACCATAATTCGACTTTAGGATTCGATTCCAAATAGTGTTTCTTGAAACATTACATGATATGAATGTTTGTTGTACGCAATTGGAACAAGGTTGCTCTATGACCTTTTTTTTATTTAAAGAAAATGTCATGTAACTCGGACAAAAATGTAACGTTACATTATAAGAATAATGTTTATTGCCTCAAAATCCATTCAAAAATAACCACGTCATCAAAATAATTAAAAAAGAAAAATCAATCGGATTAAATTTCATCCCATAATTAAAAAAAAAGTCAGATTAAAATCTCTGAATCGACTGCAAAATATAATTTGCAAAATATCAACGGAGAAGTGAAGACAGAATCCTTGCTGAGAAGAACAAGTCAAGGTCCCATGGGACAAATGATTTCTGAAGAGAGAACGAAAACAACTGACATAAAGTCCCAGACCCAAGTGAAAAGATCAAACTACATAAGTAAGATGATAAACTTGTCGTCTGCTGATTGTCGCAGATGTTGAATTCCTGACCCCTTCAACAAGAATACACACGATCATCTCACACAAACTTCAATCAATCACATACCTTAGGAATCTCCGCGACTTCTACCTCGTGCTGCTGGACCAAGAAAAAAGAATTACGGATCTGCCACTGGACAACGGGGTCTGAGCCCTCTTGAGGGGATGCGAGAAGCTCAGAAGGTTCGCCCTCTATCTCAGACTTGGAGGTCTAACCAACACGGGCCTGAGTTACATTGGGCAGTACAGCCCGAACGTGAGATGGATGCTACTAGGATACCTGGCTGAGACGGATGAGGGTCTGTTGAAGAAAAAAGAAATATAAACAATGTAGGATTTGAAATATTAAGGGAAAAAAGCTTGATTAGACTTTGTCAATGGAGGTTTTATTTTAAAAAAAATAAAGAGAATAAAAACAGAATATGAAACCTTACCGTCAATGGAGTCGTCTTCTCTCGCGGAGGAAGAAGAACTTGGTAGAAAAGGAATGGTGAAATGCCGTTCGGGGTTTTACTTTTTGCAGTACCGTTATTTTTTTATTTTTTTTATTTATTTTTTGTTTAATGTGTGGTCAATAATAAAATGAAACATGAAAAATATTTTTTTAAGTGATTATGAAAAAAATATTGTGATCTTAAAAGCTCAAATATAGAAAACTAGGAAGACATAAACGAGGATAAAAACATTAATTCCACCCAAATTCCACTAATTTGTCAGTGGACTTTCAATCTACAACACAGAAGAAATACCATTTCCGTCAAATAAACTTAACAATACTTTTGAAACTTTGAGATAACCTTGTTGCTTGATGGGTTTTGGCCTACAGAAGATGGGCGGTGCTCATGATTAAGATGAAAAAGTCGAATTCTTTCACACGTTCTGTCTTAGCTTGGAACTCGACAAGAGCTCCATTGGAAGGATCCTTAGCCATGAAAGTGATGTAGAATTTCACATCAAGGTTTGCGTCGCATGTATTCAGCCTCCCCACATGGTCGAATTGCATCTCGGTTCCCTTAACAATACATACACAGGAGGATCACACACATGCAATATCTATAGTATGTAAATGCCATGCACTTACGAATTGCTCATTATACTTCTGCAGACAGGCGGTTGACCTCTACGACAAGTACTCGCGCACAGTTAAGCTTGTTTCGCAGTACTTTGTGTCCAGATTTGGAGCATGTGCGGATTGCCCCTATCAAATCAGAAGAGATGTCGCTTGGGACGTCAAAACTCTAAAACCACACGAAACAACTAATTGCAGATTAAGAAGCTCTAAGCATTTTGAAATTGGAAAGATTCGATCTAACACGTGCGTCATTAACAAAATAGGTCTATTAAACCATAACCATTTTAAGCTCATCAATAAAAAGAAGGCTCATTTCTGGTTATTATGAATTAATAATGTCGTCAAATTATAAATTCTTTTTCGGTAAAAGATTTTTGAGATCTCCATTACGTAACTAAATTGTAGTAGTGACTTGAAAAACTATATTCATATAACGATTTTATAAGTAAACACAATTCAACACATTTTAAGCGCATTCAATGTCTAAATTGTAGTATTGATGATGGCACAACCATAAGTAAACTGTGCACTTTAGGGTTCGAGACCATAATTCGACTTTAGGTTTCGATTCCAAATAGTGTTTCTTGAAGCATTACATGATATGAATGTTTGTTGTACGCAATTGGAACAAGGTTGCTCTATGACCTTTTTTTTATTTAAAGAAAATGTCATGTAACTCGGACAAAAATGTAACGTTACATTATAAGAATAATGTTTATTGCCTCGAAATCCATTCAAAAACAACCACGTCATCAAAATAATTAAAAAAGAAAAATCAATCGGATTAAATTCCATCCCATAATTAAAAAAAAAATCAGATTAAAATCTCTGAATCGACTGCCAAATATAATTTGCAAAATATCAACGGGGAAGTGAAGACAGAATCCTTGCTGAGAAGAACAAGTCAAGGTCCCATGGGACAAATGATTTCTGAAGAGAGAACGAAAACAACTGACATAAAGTCCCAGACCCAAGTGAAAAGATCAAACTACATAAGTAAGATGATAAACTTGTCGTCTGCTGATTGTCGCAGATGTTGAATTCCTGACCCCTGCAACAAGAATACACACGATCATCACACACAAACTTCAATCAGTCACATACCTTAGGAATCTCTGCGACTTCTACCTCGTGCTGCTGGACCAAGAAAAGAGAATTACGGATCTGCCACTGGACAACGGGGTCTGAGCCCTCTTGAGGGGATGCGAGAAGCTCAGAAGGTTCGCCCTCTATCTCAGACCTGGAGGTCTAACCAACACGGGCCTGAGTTACATTGGGCAGTACAGCCCGAACGTGAGATGGATGCTACTGGGGTACCTGGCTAAGACGGATGAGGGTCTGTTGAAGAAAAATAAAATATAAACAATGTAGGATTTAAAATATTAAGGGAAAAAAGTTTGATTAGACTTTGTCAATGGAGGTTTTATTTTAAAAATAAATAAAGAGAATAAAAACAGAATATGAAACCTTACCGTCAATGGAGTCGTCTTCTCTTAGGGAGGAAGAAGAACTTGGTAGAAAAGGAATGGTGAAATGCCGTTCGGGGTTTTACTTTTTGCAGTACCGTCATTCTTTTATTTATTTTATTTATTTTTTGTTTAATGTGTAGCTAATAATGAAATGAAACATGAAAAATATTTTTTAAGTGATTATGAAAAAATATTGTGATCTTAAAAGCTCAAATATAGAAAACTAGGAAGAAATAAGCGAGGATAACAACATTAATTCCACCCAAATCCCACTAATTTGTCAGTGGACTCTCAATCTGCAACACAGAAGGAATACCATTTCCGTCAATTAAACTTAACAATACTTTTGAAACTTTGAGATAACCTTGTTGCTTGATGGGTTTTGGCCTACAGAAGATGGGCGGTGCTCATGATTAAGATGAAAAAAGTCGAATTCTTTCACACGTTCTGTCTTAGCTTGGAACTCGACAAGAGCTCCATTGGAAGGATCCTTAGCCATGAAAGTGATGTAGAATTTCACATCAAGGTTTGGCCGCATGTATTCAGCCTCTCCACATGGTCGAATTGCATCTCGGTTCCCTTAACAATACATACACAGGAGGATAACACACATGCAATATCTATAGTATGTAAATTCTATGCACTTACGAATTGCTCATTGTACTTCTGCAGACAGGCGGTTGATCTCTCCGACAAGTACTCGCGCGCAGATAGGTTTGTTCGGCGGTACTTTCCGTCCAGATTTGGGGCATGCGGATTGTCCCTATCAAATCAGACGGGATGTCGCTTGGGACGTCAAACCCTAAAACCACACGAAACAACTAATTGCAGATTAAGAGACTCCAAACATTGTGAAATTGGAAAGATTCGAATCGTAGAAGAGACCTGGCTCTCGTAGCACTGCCTCACGTATCGAAGGTATTTCTGGTTGGTTTCCTCGTCGGAAAACTCGTCCGATGAGAAATCAGGATACGCCCTACCCTCGTAGTTGTCGTACCCCCAGTAATGTGGATATGACGAAGCTTCCACTTTCTCGGTGTCACCCGAATCTTTCAGGTTTTCGACCTCCGCCTTGCGCTTTCCCAGAGACGATCTCCCAGCCTTTGCCATATCGTGCTCCATGGGAGCAGTCGCCATCGTCGATAGATCTGAGAATTGGAAAACCCTAGCAGAAATTCCCAACTCGGGATGCTAGAAGAGAAAATATATTCACACCCTCCACTTTATGGGCCATTCGATCTAACACATACGCCATTAAAAAAATAGGTCTATTAAACCATAACCCTTTTAAGCCCATCAATAAAAAGAAGGCCCATTTCTGGTTATTATGAATTCATAATGTCGTCAAATTATAAATTCTTTTTCGTTAGAAGATTTTCGAGATCTCCAATACGTAACTAAATTGTAGTAGTGACAGAATCCTTGATGAGAAGAACAAGTCAGGGTCCCATGGGACAAATGATTTCTGAAGAGAGAACAAAAACAACTGACATAAAGTCCCAAATCCAAGTGAAATGATCAAACTACATAAGTAAGATGATAAACTTGTCGTCTGCTGATTGTCGTAGATGTTGAATTCCTGACCCCTGCAACAAGAATACACACGATCATCACACACAAACTTCAATCAGTCACATACCTTAGGAATCTCCGCGACTTCTGCCTCGTGCTGCTAGACCGAGAAAAGAGAATTACGGATCTGCCACTGGACAACGGGGTCTGAGCCCTCTTGAGGGGATGCGAGAAGCTCAGAAGGTTCGCCCTCTATCTCAGACTTGGAGGTCTAACCAACACGGGCCTGAGTTACATTGGGCAGTACAGCCCGAACGTGAGATGGATGCTACTAGGATACCTGGCTGAGACGGATGAGGGTCTGTTGAAGAAAAAAGAAATATAAACAATGTAGGATTTGAAATATTAAGGGAAAAAAGCTTGATTAGACTTTGTCAATGGAGGTTTTATTTTAAAAAAATAAAGAGAATAAAAACAGAATATGAAACCTTACCGTCAATGGAGTCGTCTTCTCTCGCGGAGGAAGAAGAACTTGGTAGAAAAGGAATGGTGAAATGTCGTTTGGGGTTTTACTTTTTGCAGTACCGTTATTTTTTTATTTTTTTTATTTATTTTTTGTTTAATGTGTGGTCAATAATAAAATGAAACATGAAAAATATTTTTTTAAGTGATTATGAAAAAAATATTGTGATCTTAAAAGCTCAAATATAGAAAACTAGGAAGACATAAACGAGGATAAAAACATTAATTCCACCCAAATCTCACCCTAGCGGAAATTCCCAACTCGGGATGCTAGAAGAGGAAATATATTCACGCCCTCCACTTTATGGGTCATTCGATCTAACACGTGCGCCACTAAAAAAAAAAGCCTATTAAACCATAATCCTTTTAAGCTCATCAATAAAAAGAAGGCCCATTTCTGGTTATTATGAATTCATAATGTCGTCAAATTATAAATTCTTTTTCGGTAAAAGAATTTCGAGATCTCCAATACGTAACTAAATTGTAGTATTGACTTTAAAAACTATATTCATATAACGATTTTATAAGTAAACACAATTCAACACATTTTAAACGCATTAAATGTCTAAATTGTAGTATTGATGATAGCACAATCATAACTAAACTGTGCACTTTAGGGTTTGAGATTAGAGTTCGACTTTAGATTTCGATTCCAAATAATGTTTCTTGAAACATTACATGATATGAATGTTTACTATACACAATTGAAACAAGGTTGTTTGTTCTATGACATTTTTTTTATTTAAAGAAAATGTCATGTAACTCGAACAAAAATGTAACGTTACATTACAAGAACGACCACGTCATCAAAATAATTAAAAAGAAAAAATCAATCGGATTAAATTCTATCCCATAATATAAAAAAAAAAGTCGGATTAAAATCTCTGAATCGACTGTCAAATATAATTTGCAAAACATAAACGGGGGAAGTGAAGACAAAATCCTTGCTGAGAAAAACAAGTCAGGGTTCCATGGGACAAATGATTTCTGAAGAGAGAACGAAAACAACTGACATAAAGTTCCAGACCCAAGTGAAAAGATCAAACTACATAAGTAAGATGATAAACTTGTAGCCTGCTAATTGTCGCAGATGTTGAATTCCTGACTCCTGCAACAAGAATACACACGATCATCACACACAAACTTCAATCAATCACAGTTTCCTCTTCTGGAATTCGAAACAAAAAATCTTTAAACCCTGAACCCAAACCCATTAATATGACCGTTGAGAATCTAATCTTACTATTTTTTGACCAACAAGGGTAGTAAATGTTGATTTCCACAAGGAAAACACATTTTACCTCATATGTTGCTTGGGTACATGAAGACGCGGACTCTAGCTCCCTGCAATCAAACCAAGCAGAAAAAGATTTGAGATCGTACAGCAAAAGGCCAAAAGAAATCTAATTCGTTAGGGCATGTTGAGAAGAGATGAAATACCATTGATTTCGGAGGAAGGTTCGACTTGAACTTGGCTCGGACAACACCGCTGTTACCATGAGGCCTAGTGACCTTCCCCCATATGCAACGATAGTGCGATCCATTCTGCTTGGTCTTTGCTTTGTAGATGTAAGCCATTCTCTTCCCCAAGTACCATGAGACTTCTTCTTGTGTGTTCACGCCCTCGATCTGGACTAGAGATGTGTTTGGGTATTGGTTCGATTTCGACCTGAACAAGCACTAGAGGTCAGATATGTCTTTCACAAACAAAATTCCAAAAACCTAGAGGTCAGATATGTAAAGGGTCAAGACACGAAATGGAGCGGCTTTTTTCTATTACATCCTTAGTTTCTGAAACATTTGACATCAGATATCAATGACTGAAGCCGAATCAAACACAGAACTAACTTAAACAAACTGCGATGAATCTGGATGCAGTTTTATTCCCTTCAGGATTCAGATTTCAGACAAGTAGTGTAGAGCACAAACAGACAAATGGTCCGAAAACAGGAATTCAATGGAGTCGTCTCTGCGAACGAATGGCCTTGACCGAAATCTAAGCTAAGAGCTCAAACATGCGAAAGCGAACTGCGATCCGACCAACCAAATCTAAATTCCAAATAGCATAAACCTTAAACAATGTAAAGCAACTGGGAAACCATTACAGTACCTCTTGTATCCGAGGACTGTTCCCCTTACGTACAATCTGTCGAGAAACAAAAACACAGAATCTTGTCAGAAAACCAAGAGCTTCCCCAAAATTCAACAGATCGCAGACGGAAATTCCGCAGAGGATTGGAAGGAGGAAGCGATGTTCATATCGACGATTCCATTACCTGACTCTCTCTCCCTGGCGACCCTTCACCATTTTCAAATCCACGATAATCTGCTACGGCGAAGAAACCCAGTGATAAAAAAACCCTTAGCGATTGAGCTCGAGTAGGTTAAATATATATATATATATATATATATATATATATATATATATATATAAATGTCCCAAATCCACAAAACCCTAATTTTATTGAACCTGGCATGTGAACCCAAATAAGAATCTTGGCCCATAAACCCAATTTCGTATGGTTTGACCCAAAATCATATTTCTATGGTTATGAAAAAACATTGTAACATAAATATATATATTCATGAAAAAAAAATCACGCACACACACACAAAAAAAAAAATCTATGACCCAAAATCATATTTCTAATTTGTACATGTAGACAGCCAAAGGGAGGATATGGGTAATAAAATACAAAACCAAATTATTTGAATCCGAACAAAACACAAAACACCGTTCACATCATCCACAAAGTTATTTTTTTCTGAATTGGATTCAGTATTGTTTTATATATATATATATATATCCAACCATTAAAAAGGTAAAAGAAATTGTTTTGTAATGGAAAATGGAATGAAACTTTCTACTATTTAGGCCACACTACTTACAAAAAACAAAAAGAACCTTAATGAGAATTACAATGGCGACAAAGAAGATTAACACAAGTACAAAAAAAACAGCAAGTTCTTAAACGTCTGCAAAAACATGGAAGTTCTTGGAGTCAACAGCGATGAGCCTGAGAGCTGCAATGGCGGCTGCAACAGACATAAACCCGAAAAAGCAAACGTTGAGCCAATGCCATAGCCTCTGCACCGAACCCAACTTGCTCTTCTTAGCCATAAGGTACATGTGGTTGGCCAGGATGAACGTGAGAGGGAATGTGCTGAGAGCTCCGGTCAAGCTCATGAAATCCCCGAGGAACGGCAAAAGGGCCGAGAGGAGAGTGCTGACTGCGATGTACCCGCCTCGGGCTAGCATTCTGAACCCGAGGTTCTTCGCTGCCAGCGGGCTTCCTTTGATCCCGTACTTTGTGTCCATGTATTCGTACGTCGGGCTAGCGAAAATCTGCGTATAAATAACGTTCATAACCCGGTATTTAGCTGTTGATGAACACCCTTTGGACCACTCATCTGGATTAGGAATACTGATTCATAGACTCAGAATACTTTCTGGTTTAGCGGGTTTCGTTTTATCGCGGGTCGGACCACAACCTTAATGTAAAGTTTGGATCTTTAACATAAAAACTGATCAAGGTCAGTGATAAACGGATCTAAATCTCGGAATCCCATTTTACTAAACGATTTCCTAGCATTTGAGATGCTTAAGAAGAGAAAACTCACGTGCAAGGAGATCACAGATTGCAGGAAAGCGGATATATTAGCGAGGACCTTCAGCCAGGTCGGGCCGTTGACGCTGTTCAGCAGATAGGTCGATGTGGATGCGCCGTAAGCCCAATACCCGATGAATGTAACAGCGTACATCGGTAAGACCCCCGCAGTGAATTGAAAGTAGAGAGCTTTCATCATGTTCTTGACAACGGGTTGCCTCACCGTCGCCTAGCGTTTGCAAGAAGGGCGTTTCAATAAAGAGAGAATCTTGATAGTTCCCCCAAAAGGAAAGAAAGACGGCATGAATGAATGGAAAAAAAACTTAGGTAACATTCAGGACTGACTTGTATTTCTGGAAGCATCCCTGTGTTGAATGCAAAAACCAGATTGGCGGCTGCTCCTGTTATCGTAAAGATCTTGTCCACCGACGAGCCCTGTATGTTATAATCTCTGGCAGGTGCTTTTACTCCTACGCAAAGGCGAAGAACCCGGTTGATCAAGTTATAGTTTCTTCACCTATAGATAATCGGGATATAGACAAGGTAGATTACCGTCTCTAACTGACAAAACTATCGAAACGACGATATAGATGAGACTGAGAACAGTTGAAACACCGAGCCAGATCCCCAGAGCTGATAAATGGGGGATCCCGATCGCGAAAAGGGCACACATGAGACCCGCAATGGCAATGAAGTGAGGCAGTTTCACGGCATGGTCCTCCCTGAAAAGCACATAAACGGCCTGCGGAAGCAGAAAAGCGCCCCCGAAAGATTCAAGCTTTCAGACAACAGAAGAACTAACTCAGTAAAAGAATCATTAAGCTTTTCCTCTCGGCGATGTCTTTACCTTCAAGGCGGAACCGGCCAGTATGATGTAGCCACAGTTGATCATGAACAGATTGACATACTGCAATCCCCATGTAAGACGATAAGCCTTTCGACCTGAAAAAACCGAAAGGAAACGCAGACAAGCCTTCTTATGGGATCAAGAAAACAAAGATCAACAGAGAGACGGGGAGAGAGAGGGAGAGGGTCTTTACCGTATATGAAACCGGCGAGATCTCTGTACCGGATATGCCTTTTCCCCCCAAGCTCATGAAGCTTGGCAATAAGAGAATTTGCGTAGAGAGATATTGCAGTTGCAAGAAGAAGACCAACCACACCACCGATCCAACCCAAAGGAACCATGATTGTGCCGGAATACCCCAACACATAAGCGCTGTTTATTCCGGTTGTCAGAACAAATGCCACTTGAAACCATGAATCTGCATAACCCAGATACCATCCAAAAGCAACGTTGATCAAATCCCAAATGCAGAATCAGAGGTAATTCAAGAGCAGCAGATTCCTCAAAACTTACATCCACTGTTATATATATATATATATATGACTAGAGGGAACAGATCAATGAACTTGAATGATCAAAGACAAGAACTTTACGAAAAGGGTACTGCCAAAATCTACTCTTTCACATCCAAAACCATAATCGAGAACCTCTCATACTCTGGAATGATCAAAGACAGGGATTTTACAAAAGGGCATTGCCAAAATCGACTCTTTCACATCCAAAACCATAATCTAGAATCTCTCATACTCTAGAATGATCAAAGACAGGAGTTTTGCAAAAGGGCGTTGCCAAAATCTGCTCTTTCACATCCAAGACCATAAAAAGAAACAAAAAAAAGGTTGCAGAAAACGCATATTCATACATATCATGCATACGTATGTACACGCGCGGCATTATGCACCTCTCAAGAGCAAGACGAAGCTATCAATCCTATGATTTTTCTTTGTTCATACCTTTTTCCCCCTCGAGAAAAACGTGCATCAATCCCCAGATAATGGAAATACAAAAAAGGTTTCTCTCATATGCAACCAAATTTTCCTCGAAAAAGTTAGATATCATTACAATAAAGGCCAAATCCACCACACACACACACACACAAACAAACAAAAAAGGGGGGAAAAAAGACCGAACCGCTGCTAATCTGATGAGCAGTTTCAGGGATTTCAATGGAGAACTGTTCCTCGGCATTAACTTTGTGGCTCCTGGATTCACTTCCTTCCATGTTTCCGAGGTTGGTCTCCTCTCTCTCTCTCTCTCTCTCTCTCTCTCTCTCTCTCTCAAAGAGCCGTACAGCTTCTTCCTCTATCACGTTAACATATTGCACAAAAGCCAGCTTCTTTTATACCCGTTGATTCTTTTTTTTTCCGTATTTACCGGCAAATGCAATTTAGTCCCCCGAAAATTAGTTTGCTGGAAAGAAAACCGAGAATCTAGCACGAATCGCAACCGAAACTTTATTCCAAGAAAAGGGTCTACAAAAAAAGCTGGATTTTTTTTTTTTAATCTGGGTGCTCAATTTTCCTCCCTCCACTATACGAATTTATCGGGTTCCTTTATATAAAAATCCGATCTTTGTTGTTGTCGGGTACGAGCGTTGGCTAAGTTTCTGTGTCGGAAATCGATCCCTATTAAATGGGGCAAAGTTTAGAGGCATAACTCGGCCCCTGATCTCGTGTCTCTCAATCGTTGTGGATCATTTCATATAGTTTTAGTTGATGGTTAATTGTATATTTTTCTCTTCTCTTCTTGATTATTTTTATTTTGTTCTTGTTCTCGTTAATTTAATGAATTTATCATTTCAAGGAAAAATAAATTCGTACCGTGTTGTGTTGTGTCTCCTCTCTTTCCTTCTGTCTAGTGAGAGATCTCTCTATTCATCAAATGTTTTATCCCTACTCACTCTTTTTACAATTTGTTGTGAAATAGTTTTCGTGTTATTAAAATGAATATTTCTATCAAACTATACAAATACAAATTAAATTACGATAATTTTAGGCATTAACCCGCACACGAATAGAAAAGTCGTCCATAGTGACGGAAGGAAATATCTAAAAGACCAAAAACTGTTCACACCGTCTCTCAACAAGAACAAAGATAAAGATGCATTAACTAGTGCATACGTAACATCATGACCAATTGATATGAATGCTGTATATATCTATTTCATTTACTTATCTGTGTATTTTTTTTAAAAAAAATCGTTTTAATTTTGTTTTTTTTTCGAAATTTGGGCATTCAATTTCGAAACAGACATTAAATATTCTTTTTCCCCTATTGAAATATCCAAATTTTGTCAATTCTCTCCAATTTAATATATATATATATATATATATATATATATATATATATATGATAATTCATGCAAAATTCAACCTACTCATGTTCCTTTCAACCATGGCACCCTTTTCTGAATAATTCAACCACGACTATAGAGCTCTGTTTTTATTAGTCTCAACTTTAGCTTTAATAGTATTATATTATATTATTATTTGGTTATTTTCTTTTTCCAATTGATATTTCTAATTCTGATAAACCTTTAGAATCTAAAAAAAATTAATTCTCAGAGAAATAAATATCTAAAATCATTAAAAAAAAAAACTACTATTTTCTTGGTTTATTACAATTATTTGACATTCGCTATTTTATTCTGCTCAAGGATATTATTGTCTTTCCATAGGATATGGCAATTTCCTTTGAATAAGAGTCTTCTTCAAACGAAATAATTTCTCATATAATATGAAATCCTCAACTACCAACACAGAGACAACTGTTGTTCTCTTTCACACTAAAGATATGGTTTAACGGTTTTAATTCCTATTTTCTTGTATGTTTATAATTTTAAAAATTAAAAATATACGTGGCCATTTGAAGACGGGTAGTAAATTCTATTGGCATGCACATATTTGGTGCATAATTCTTCTTTGTAAGTTTTGATCAGAATATATAAAAATAAAATAAGCAACCGCCTATCTAAAATAAATTTAACGAAAAATTTAACTCGATATAATTGCATTTTAAAGTAAGCTGATTAAATATATTTTAAAATCTAAACCGAATAAAATAACAGAAAAATAGAATAAAACAATTTAAATATTTTAATAAAAATATAACCCCAATATAAAATCTAAAACCGATATTAAACGATACTAAACAAATATATATATATATATATATATATATATACAAAATTTTAAAATAAATCCGAAATAATTGAATCAAAATATATACATGATTCAAAATATACAATTTGAAGATAAATATTCATCAATATAAATTTTCAGTTTTGTTCCATGTAATTAAATATCGGAAATGACCAAATATATGAAATGTTAACTCTTAATATAGCATGGTTACCTACGCCGGCACAATCATTCTTATTTACCGTCCAAATTAGTTGTATTATTTTTTATAAAGTTATTTTCTATTAAATTTCATATTATATATATGTGTATATATATATATAATCTCATACTAAACAATATATGATTACCTATGTTTTAGTTAGAGGAACATACGAATTCAAATTACATAGATGATAGATATAATATACTCCAAATCCTTTGTAGATTTTTGTTTAAATAAACTTGGCTTGAATTCAAATAAGACGCGAGTCATGAATATATATCATATATATACCTTACCTTGTTCGATATAAACATTAGTTAGAAGAGTCATAATATATATATATATATATATGATAATTCATACAGGTGTAATTTTTTACCCAATACCCAAAGGTTTTGGATATCATATCTCGTGGGTATTCGAATTTCATTATTTATGAGATAATGAGATCGGTACTAAGTTTTATGAGATGAAAAACCTGAATTTCATATTCGGATACCGACTAATATGATTTTCGTATGAAATGTTTGTAAATTCGATTATACAGTATCTATTTCAATTTTATGATTTAGTATTCACGGATTCGGATTCTACAGATACCCGATTTTGTGTCGTGAGTACATGAGATTCGAGTATCCGGAACTCACAAAACTAAGACCGGGACATCCCTCTACAATAATCCGACTGCCCTCCCCTCGACCAGAGACCTATTGGAGGATGGATTGATCATTGAATTCGGCGTGTTAGATTTCGAGTTTTAGGATGCATTATACAATCAATCATGGAATCCTCTTGGCTACCATACTGTGACGAGGATATCAATTCAAAAAGAGAAGAAAAAAACGTACTTTTAGTGCAAAGAGAAAGAGACAACAAAGTGAACTCGAATGACCAAACCGCTACCGCTAATTTTCGCATAAATGACAACCAGATTCTAATATGCCCACTAATTAAAAAGATAAATTGGTCGTTGAACGGTGCACTTACATTACATGATCGCCCCTTTGTATTAGTGAAGTATGCTTTTCTCTAAAGGAAATAAAATTCGGGATTTCTTTTGTCTCCTTAGTGGTTTTTTTTTCAGATCATTCACAATAAAGAAGACATAAGAGTCTGCATGTAAAGAAAAAGCTTCAAACTTTTTTAATGGAAAAAAAAAATCAGAGTTTTTAAAGAATTATATTCATTCGGTTTATTCGTTTTTCTTTTAATTGAATTTCATTTCGTTTTGAAATTTGTTTGGCTTGCTTCAGTTTTGAAAAAAAGAATAGTCAATCTTTTCATTTGGTTTTTTTTAAATTCAATTAATTCAAATCCTATTCGGATTCGATTTTAAAAAATTATATGCAGTAAATTTTTAACTCAGATTTAATTCGAATACAGTTTATACTAGAGGTGACTATTTCGGATTTCGGTTCGGTTATACTCAGGTTTGGTTATTTCTTTTATAGAAAAACTATAACAATTCGTTTTTATATAAACTTCGGTTTGGATTTGGTTTTAGGTTATAAAAAATATATTTTTTAAAAAAAAATTGGATTTTTCCAGTTATTTTTTAATAGATTCGGTTTTTATGTCATATGCAGTTCGATTCGACCATTCTGTTATATCCGGTTTCAATTCGTTTTTTCATATCTCTAAGCGAAATACCCTGCATAGGACAATACCCTGCACTGTATATGCTTTTTTGAAATGCCAAATAATGGAGCAAAAGGAGTTTTAATTTATTTATTTTTTGGTGAAAAAGGAGTTTTAATTTGTTAAAAAAGAAGAAATAATGTCGTGGACGAAATTTATTTTAGGTCACTTCACATTTGTGTTACTATATGCTACATGCAACTTTGAAAATGCTTTTTTTTTTTATAAAAAAAGGAAAAAAAAGGGGAGGGGAATTACAAAGTCTAATTTTTAGAAATTACACCATCTTTTTTTTTTTTTTTTTTGAGGAACGTGACATATGATCATTTGCTTGGACAGTGATGCGAGAAACAATTGTAAGTACTAAGTACTTATTCTGTAATTCGATGATATTTTTATTTGAGTTTGGTTTTTGGTTCGTTTTAAACTAAATAATTTTTATTGTGTTTTTAATAGAGAATTTTTTTAATTTCATCTCGTGTATAGAATCCCATGCACATGTAATTTAGTGGTTTTATACAAAAGAGTGATCGAATTGTGGCGGAAAGAATAGAATATAAAAAAGTGAGAGCATTAAATGAAATATATATATATATATATATAATTCAATGATTGTATATAAATTATACAAAAATCTTTTTCTTATGACAGCAGAGTAAGAATTGATGGTCACTCAAACTTAAATTAAATATGTATTTTTCCTTGCAATTATTTATTTTAAATGTCATGTGGATTTATTCTGCACGATAAAGCGTTCCTAGAGAAAAGCCCAATTAAGGCCTATGTTGAAATTACATTGTGGGCCTTGACAAAAATTCCGACAGGAGATGGCCTTTACAGATTATATATATATAAAAAAAAAACATTTTTATTTTTATTTTTATTTGGGTTTGAGAGCAAAATCGATAATTAGCAGCCAAATGCTCGTTGGTGTTTACCTAAATACGAAGTCGATTAAGAATACATTATATTATAAGACAAATATATAAAAGTTGATATATAACTGAAGTTATTGCGTGGAAGTAATATATATATACACACATGATTTGTCGAACAGATTCGCATTTTTAGAAAGAGATTAGATATTCTTTTTCAAATAATCTTAATAGGTAAATATGATAAGATCAGATATATGGTGTTTGAATATTCAAATATGATTTTAAGGAAAAGACCGAGGAATCACGTTTATGTTTTGTCGTTTAATAGGCGATGATCGATGGATGTTAGAGCTTATATTATTTTTCCCTCTCCCGCGGTCCATAACCTGAGAGGGCTTTCCTAGAGTCATATTTTGTTAAAGCAAGGAAATAGCATATTCAGCATCTAGAAGAATAAAATCAACAAATGGAAGTATGGAGTTGAATTTGGAAAGCACAAAAGGAAAGAAGCAACAAAAGGAAAGAAGACATTCACATCAATCAAGAAAAGGCAAGGCATATATTCGGATGATATTGAGAGAATCACTTTGAGAAATCTATATATACCGAAGACCCCATTACAGAAGGGTTGTCGAGATTATTGCTATTGAG